GCAGAGGAGAGCAGGGCGGGCATGAGCAGCAGGGCAAGGGGCGTGACTGGCGCAGCCAGCCTGGCCCCTGCTGGCAGCGCACTGTGCACAGCGCACCCAGGAATCTGCTGCCAGCCCCAGCAGCCTGTTTTCTTACCCCGACCTTTTGTTGCTGCTCGAAGCACTCAAACATGTTCTTGTGCAAAGGAATGGGCCTCGGCAGCCGTCCCGCGCTGCGCCGCATGGCCACCGCAGGCGACACAGACTTAGGCGCCGGGCTCCTGTTTGAGGAGCGTGGCGGTGAAGGCTGCAGGTTGGTAATTGGCTGTAGTGGGCTGCGCTTGGGGCTGCTGGGCACGATTGAATCTGCAGACCATGGAGGAAAAGTTGCCGCATGTGAAATGGGGCAGACCAGGCCCGCAGCGACATCGGATGCAAGCACTGATCATACCTTTAGTGAGGATGAAGGCGTCTATATTGATTGCCAAACTTCGCCAGGCATCCTCAAGGGACAGAAGGATGGGCAGGCTGCGCGTGTCGCACACGAGCGAGACAAAGACGGCATGTAGGTGCTCCCGAACAGTCCACCGCCCGGTGGCCTCGACGCAGATGATGTAGCCCCCTGCTGGCGCAGCAGAGCCGGGGGGAGCAGCATGCTGCCAATATCGTTGGGCCAAAAGATTTTGTCCACCTGCGTGCCACCAAGGGCACACTTGACGAGCAGCGGCATCGTGTGCCCGCTGGCCCGTTCAGTGAGGGTGAGGAAGAAGCCACTGGTGCCTCCTGCTGCCTCCATTGCTGCCTCTGCTGCCTGCTGCACTGCTTGAGTTGCCTCATGGACTTTGCTGTGCTCGAATGCTGCCGCAAAGCCTGCAGGCAGTTTTCCGCTGGGCGGCGTGACCGCCGCCTCCCAGGTGCCGACATGGTGGATGCCAGGAATGTACTTTGCAGCGGCCTTGGCCTCTAAGTAGGGATTCAAGTCCCCAAAAAGCTGCCGGTGCAACTCCTCGCTCTCCTCCACTAGTTTTGAGTTTCGCTGATCGGTAATCTCCTCGCCCCGCCCCCATGCGCGCCCCTTAGCCGCTGATATTAGCACACAGCAGTTTCTGCTCTGTGCAGCGGAGGTCCTGGCCACAGCTGCGCTTGGGCGGCGGCGCCCATTGGCGGGCAGCATGTGGGACACAAAGCCGGTCGCCTGGAGGGCGGAAAGAGACACTAACATCATGCTATACTATCAGCAATAGCGCGGGGATGCAAGAAGAAGAAGAAGATGTGACCAAACACGGGTGACTCAGGGGGAGAAACGGTGGCAGCGACTTTCCAGAGGAAGCCTGCCGCCACTCCCTCCCCACAGGAGGCTGTCAGGCTGGATCTGGAGGGTTCTGAGCTGTCGGCGGCGTCTGTGCATACAGCGATCGTCGCGATGTGCGGATCTGCACGTTGTAAGCGAGGGCACTGCTCACAAGGCGGCGAACCGCTGTTGCCGCCTGGCGGGGCGCAACGCCGCACCGCTCGAGAGCAGCGCGCGCTGTGGAAGTGACCAGGCCCGAGTGGGACACGGCGACAGGGAAGCAGGTGACCTGCCACCCCTGTTGAACCAGGTAATGCATCCAAGAGCTGTGTTGCTCCAGCTTGTCAGCAACTGCCGCCGAAAGGCGGGTGTCGGCGGCATGCGTGACCTCCACGCAGACGAGCACACGCTCCTCAGGGGTGAGCTGGCTGAGTGAGATGGTGTGGGCGCGGTTGGGCTCCATAGCAGGGAGGAATATAATGTATGCAATGCAATAGCGGGGAGTATTGAGGGGGCGCAAACTTGGGTGGTGCTGTGCTGGCCACCACCCTATCCAGGCTGGCACGTGTGTTGGCTGCCGCCTGCAGGTGGGCATGGAGTGGATCTGGACCTCGGTAGGCTTTTCCTGGAGCTGGATGTGGACCCTCAACACCACCAACCCTCCCAGTCCCCGGCCCTACAGTGGTGCGTCTGTGTGTCAATAGCTGTTATTCCTACTGTCATAATATCCATGGCAGCACGCCTCAGGTTGTCCACGGCTCGCCTCACTGCCTGCCTGCCTCCTGGTGCGTATGCAGTCGCTAGAGCAGCAGAAGGAATATTTGCAGCGTGGCATGTCTAGACAGATCTGGCCATGCTCCGCAGCAATTTGACATGTAAAGTACAGCCAAGGGCTCAGCCAAGAGCGCCAGCATGGTCAGCTCGGCTGCTTCTCTTGCAGTTAGGTCAAGATCCTTAGCCGCAGCCGCACGCCGCTTGAGTGGCAAGCTGGCCATAGAGGCAGAGGAGGGCGGCAGGATGACTGTGATGATGTTGCCCTTTGTACCCACCCTTACGTGCCGAAACAGAAGGTGTGCTTGTGGCATTGCTTGCTTTGCTTGCAGCAACATAACTTGTCTTGCTGCTCATGGCCTGACTCACTGGCCGCCCAACCGCAGCTTGCAGAGCGATTGCAGCGCGTACTTGGTCTGCCGGTGCTATATCAATGCCCCCGTGATCACACCTGCTGCTGCCATTTGTGGCACCGCAGATACCAAGTCAGTGACCCGTCCCGGGGCACTGCTCCCGGCGTGGTCGAGGATACCATCGACAAGGAGATTGCCGGGAAGCCGGAGCTGCTGAAGGTAGTGAGGAGGAGGCTGCTGGATTATGCAGCGGTGGTTGTGTGTGTAGTTGGTGTGAGGCATCGGGCAGCAGTGCAACTGTCATCCCACGGCCTGGCAATGCTCACCCCTCCAGCTGCACCGCTGGGCCAACCGCGTGGGGCATTGACTTTTCTGCGGAGCCTGGCTCGCTCACGGCGCTCGTGGGCGGCAGCGGCGCGGGCAAGGCGAGTGCTGCCTGTGTCTTTGCTGCCTTCTTGCCTACTGTGCCTCCTGGTCCCTAACTGTCCAGTTAGTGGCTGGGCTGGACCGGCGGCATGCGCCCTCATGCGACAGATGTCCATCACCAACAACTGAGTTAAATGTGCTGCTGCTGCCGATGCTTCCATTAGACTCCACCCTTCTTCTCCCACCCTCGCTTCTCCTTTGCTGTACCAGACCACTCTGCTGGACTGCATCCCTGGCTGGAAGACCACTGGGGTTATCAGGTACGAAAATGGACGGAGCTTGATCCCAGTACGGCCTGCAGGGCGCAATACCTCTGCACACCTTGCGCCCTCCACTGCACTCTCACACCAACAATGTTGTGTACGCATTGCAAGGACCTTGCATCTGTGTCATGCAGGGGCGATATCCTGGTGAATGGACATCCCAAGGAACAGGCAACCTGGTCTCGCGTGTGTGGGTACGCGGCAGGGCTGGCGCCAACTTGTTGCCAGCCGTGCGCTCCTCCTTGCCAGCTCATCCCGTACCTTCTCAGTTCTGTCCCCCTTGCCCTCCCGCCGCTCCTACACATGCCTTCTGGTTCATCACCCCTCCCCACGGTTAGGTATGCGGAGCAGCAGGACGTGCACAGCGTTGCACCACGTGCGTGAGGCCTTCCTCTTCTCCGCCCGCCTGCACCTGACAGAGGACATTACCACGGCTCAGGTGCTGCAAATTGTGGATGATGCCCTGGAGATGGTTGACATGACTGGCATAAAGGACAGCATTGTGGTAGATGCGGGTGCGTGGGGTTGTTTGCACAACTGCGCGCCAACACACTACATGCAGGGCAATGTGTTTGGGTGAGGAAACACAGAGCACTGTAGACCGGGTGAGGCCACCCTTAGCCTTTCATACTGGCCAGCGGCATGGGAAGTCAAAACGCGAGGGCTTGCTCACGTCACCGCTTGGCTTGCGTGGTCCTTGGTTTAGGCGCCTACGGCCTGAGCGTGGAACAGCGCAAGCGGCTCTCCATCGGGCTCATGGAGCCAACCAGCGGGCTTGATGCGCGCGCCGCCGCCATTGTGATGCAGGCCGTGAAGAATGTCAGCCTGACCAACCGTGCCGTGATCATCACCATCCACCAGGTGGCAGGCTGCTATACCTTGCAACTCCGTTGGCTTGACTGGCCAGTGTGTCAATCCTGTGCGTATGACGAAACGACTGCGCGTCACCTCCTCACCGCCTCGCCTGCGTGGAGAGTGGAGATATTTGAAGCTTTTGACTACTTGGTGCTGATACAACGCGGCTGCCACCTCACCTACTTTGGTTATGTGGGCGATGAGAGCAGCGTGCTGATCGCCTACATGGAGCCGCAGCCGGGGGTGAAGCCCATCTGCCCAGGCTACAACCCAGCCACGTGGTATGTACCAAGGGCTGGCCGGCGGCGGTGGCAGGGTTGTGCACACTGCATCTGATCTTGAGGAGGAGTCAGTGCTCAAGTTATGCCGCCCTTCTCTGCCCCGGTGCAAGATGTTGAAGTGACTGGCGGCTTGAGCTCCGTCTTCAAAAGCTCCATCCAAGACTTCCCCACGCTGTATGCGGTGAGGGGCAGTGCAGTCCTCAACTGCCGCTCTGCTCGCCTGGCGCTGGCAGCTAGGAGCACCAGCACATATGCCTCTATAAGCTGGCAGCGCTCCGTGCTGGTCCGCAAGTTCTTCAAGCTCTACTCGAGCAATCCCAACTACAGTGAGCTGTTGAGCAATACTTGTTATCGGCCAGCAGGGATTGCTGTGCTTGCAGTGCAGGTATCCTGATCTCCCTGCTAGCTGTGCAGGCGGTCGTACTGATGCATGGTGCCTGCCCCTGGGTGTCTACCAGCTGGGCGGGGTGACACCACGACGTGATTTGCACCTCGCCTGCTGCAGACTTTGTGCGGTTTGTGCTGACAGTCGGGATTGGCATCGTGCTGGGTCTGGTCTATATCAACCAGGTGCTGCCTGCCTGCCTGCCTGCCTGCCGTTGAATCAGCGCCTGCCCTGCTTGTCTGCCTGCCTGTGCTGCATCTGCCGTCTGTCTGTTTCCCACAGCGCAGCCCGTAATGCGGTTGACCGTTGCCCATGATCTGATGCCCGCCCAGCTTGCCCATCGTTGCAGGGCAAGTTGGACGAGCGAGGCACGGACGTGGCAACTGTGCAAACGTGATGGATCTCATCTTTGTGCTGATTGTCTTCCTGGGCATGTTCAAGTGTGAGCTGTCTTGCTCAACATCTATGCTTCAATGAGCTGTTAAGCAGTTCAAAAGGACTAGCTGTGCCTTCCATTCTGCATGCCATGCCGCTGATTTGCTTGCCCTGGCACCCCTGGGAGCAAGCAACGCCCCTGAGCCATCAGGAGTGCCATGCTGGCATTACGCAGGCATGACAATGCAGCCAGTGGTGGGAGCGGAGCGCACCGTCTGCTACCGCGAGCGCAGCTCATCGTACTCGCCAGCCGCCTACGCAGTGGTGGGTTGGTGTAGTGACATGCATCCCCGCTGGACATGCATACCCCAGCTATGTCGGTTTGTGGACAGGGACCTGTACACCGTACCGCTGATCTCTGCACTTGTCCCAGCCCGTGAGATGGCCCGACTGCTGCGCTGCTGCTCGTCCAGCCGAAGCGATGTGCATCACTCTGCTGTAGCTGCGCCTGCTGCTGCTGGCAGGCCAGCAGAGTGGTGGAGCTGCCGTACCTTCTGGTGCAGGCCTCGCTCATGGTAACCATCACCTACTGGGAGCTGGCAGCAAGTCGGAAGATGGAAGGGTCAGGCAGCCAGTGCGCCTTGGGAGCCAGACAAGCGATGGATGCCAGGCAGGGCGTCGAGCAACCTGTCGCATGTGCTTTGCCTGCAGGATGGCTGGCTTTGAACTGGTGGCTTGGAAGTTTTTCTACTTCCTTCTCTTGTACTTCTTCTCACTCACCATGGTGGACCCATACTGAGAAGAGGGGTGCCAGTAGCAGCAGGCTGGGTTGAACTCCCAGCCAGAGTGAGGAGTGCGGCAGCGCCTGGCTGCCCCGTTCATTACACAGCCAGCCCATGCTCATGCTGTGCTTGCTGACATGCCAAC